TCCCCTAAGAAACAGCTTTAACCACAATGATGGTGTTCAAGGACACTAGACACCCTTTTTCTAGGCTTTTTAACCTGCCCTTCTCTCTGTCATCTGATTTACAGCTACAGCAGTGAAGGCACAAAGAGCACAATCACAAGCTGCAATAACAAGCTTGGCCCTGGTGATATCTTAATAACCAATTCAAAAGCAAAATCCTATGTTGATGTAACCAGCAGAATAAGCTGCTGAAGAAGAAGAAAATCAGGCAAAAAAAGCACTAGCAGTTAAAGACTGAAAGAATTGACTCTGTAAAGAGCAACAAACCCAGATTTGGATGGAGGCAGCAGGTTTGGACCATTTTTCTCACCTGTCCGGCTTGACTCTCCCAGGAGCAGCATGGTTGTAATCACACAGAGAAGGAAGGAAAGACCTTTGTCCATTGTAGCAGAAATATCTTCTGCCTAAAGGAAACTTCCTGCTGGAGGTGAAAGGCAAGCAGTTAGAGCTGTGTTTAGAGATCCTCACTGCTGAGTTAGAAGCAGTACATCCTGGATTTTCTGCAACTCATTCTGAAGGGTCCCAAGTCAAGCAAAGGTCTCTGGGTGAAAACAGAGTCACCGCTGAGCCCAGTCATACAAGTATTAAAGGAAAGAGTCTGCTGAGCAACTTAGTGCAGCAAAAAGGATGTGACCAACCTGTAGAGTGGATTTATCACAGATGTTGTGCTGTGTCTCTGCTGGTCAGCTCTCCACAAGGGAGAGGTTTGCCACCATGAGCATGTAGGCTCTGGAGAGGGGTAGGCATAGGTGTGTGCCCTGACAGGGGACACAAACCCATGGATGTGGGAAGGGAGGGGATACACATCCATGGGCTCCCAGGGGGAAGCAGCTGAAGTGCCCCTGAGAGCCAGGCCCTTGTGCTCTGGGAAATGGAAGATGCTGTCACAGAAATTTTAGAGTATGAAGAGGCACTAATAAAAGAAATCTAGAGAAAAGAGAAATTGCTTCTGAAGCCCTCTTTCATCTCAGCCTCCTGCCTGCAACTGAACAAGGGAAAAGGGACAGGCAGAGGAGGGCAGAAACCAGCATATTTCCAGTGAACTTTTTTCAGTTCAAACTCTGCAATGAGATTTCTGCAGGGCTTGCCACAGTTGTACATTTGTCATTGTAAAACAGCACGAGAACTATGAAAAACCATCAAGGCCAGGTTATAGTAAGTCTTCAGCTGCAGAGATATTTTGGATTGTACGTGTTGTCACAGAGTCAACCAAGGTCCAGGACAACGTTATCCCAGAAACAATAAAAACCATATTAAAAAATGAAAACTTACCTTTTAGGAGACTGCAGACAAAAAAAACCTACACTACATACAGTGTTAGCTGCTTCTGTTGCTGCTCAGAAACACGGCTTCAGTTCATCTTACCCCATCATGAATGTTTCCCCAAACCTGCCCTCCTGGAAAACTCTTGGCTTTACATCTCAGGAGCCTCCCTCCCTCAGTTTCTCTACATTTTTCACCTAATGAGAGGAGTGAATAAAATGAACACAGAAGATTCTTTCTGGGTTTAATTTAAATGCTGTCTTTGCTGTGAAAAATACTTCAAATGGGAATGTTTTGATCCTTGCAAAAGCACCAAAGAAGGAGACTGACATTTGAGTTATGGATCAGTCTGCTTGTTTCCTGGTAGATTTCACCTGTGAATTACTGCTACTTTCTCCATACAGCTCAGTAAAAACTACAAAATGAGCTTTATTTCAAGCAGTCTCCTTCATAAAAAAGCTAATTAGAGCTGGCAATGTATTCCTTGCATCCCCTGAAAAGAGAGCGCTGTAACACACTGCTGCTGCTGTCTGAAAGAACAAATACAGTGTAAATATGTGCACAAATGAAAACCACAGACTTTTAGCAATGGCTGATACACTTCCCTGGCTCTGATTTATACTGGAGTCATTTAGGGACAAACAGAATCCCTTAGAATAAAGGGAGAGCAGAGGGGTTTAGTGCCTCCCAGTGTGCAAAGAGTTCCTGAGGTACTGCTTAGATTAACCATTGCAACATCCATTCACCATCCACCTGAGGAGATACTACAAAGTTTCCTCATGCTGGCTTTACAGCAAAAGAAACTAAGGATTTAAACAGCTGCTTTGCTAGAATCAGCTCTCACTCCTCAGAAGGTTTTCAGTCTGTGAACCAAAGAAGACATCATTACTCCTCAGCCAGTCTTCTGTCTGCAGTGCTGCCAGCAGAAGAAAAGGTGAACAGCCATGACCTAGGAAGGAGACAGCCTGCTGCACACAGACGTTGGTCCTTGCCATCTACAACAAGAGCAGTGACTGGAGGCAGTAGCTCACTTACAGTGTTCCTTTCTCCTCTCCTAGTCCGTTTCCTGACGGGGCAGGAGCAGCAACTCGATGAGCAGGCACCAGGGAACTGCTGGGATGCTGCGCTCGCAGCCAAAGCTGTTATAAGGAGAGAAGAGAGGGAGGAGCCAGGCTGAGAGGCTTCTGTAGAGCATGCGGGGGCCACCACACACCCCGCGGTACCTGAGGCTGGGAAAGAGGAGACTACACCCAGCAAGAAGACAAGGGTTGGAACCAGTTTGGTGCAGCAGCTGAATGCTACACTGAGGCTCAGAAAATCCTATTACTGCCCTGCTGGGTGGTCCTGTGAAAGTCCTCTCTCTTTACAATAGTGTCCTGTCGAGCTGTGCCCATCTCTCCTGTCTATTGCTAGTGTGAGCTGCTCCAGACTTTCTCCACTCTGTGGCTGCCTCAGAAGATCAGCTGGAGACTCATGAATAACACCAAAAAACCCCCCAAACCATTACATACATCTAGGGTTTCCTCATAATGCCTGGACAGTTGAAGGAAGGCCTGAGCTTTCAAGGTAAACCATTACATTCCTCTCTGGATTGTACAGTACTGTTTAACACACAGGCACAGGAATTAATTCCCTATCCCCTCCATCCTCCCATTTACTAGCTTCACTTCAGAAGTGAGCTGAAGCACTACACTGCCAAGTGGCTGCTCTGCTGCGCCAGGTCAGTTATAAATACGCACATCAAGGCACTGTAACAACAAAGAAGTGCCTTCACAGGAACTCAGCAGAGTAAACTACTACAACTCATCCTGCAGGGGACTTGGAACATGTCCACACTTGAGGAAGAAACAACAATTTACTCCCTGCTTGACTTTAAGATGATGAAAAACTGAAGATGGAAAATTCTCCAGGAGCGTGCACGTCCTGGCCTTCTTCCCTGAGCATTCTGTATACGTGCCACTGAGGAAATCAATTATTAAATATCAACACAGCTTGATCTGTGTAGCCAAAAAGTGCTTACACTTCAATTCAAAAGGCTGCAGCTGGGGAAGCTGGCCCCTAACAGAGTTCAAAGGCTTGCCTCATAGCTCACTGCAATTAAGGGGAGTCCTTAGATCACTTTTAGTGCACTTCAGACCCCAGATGGTGTAAATCATTCTTGCAATATAAATTATGCCGAGGTGCTAAGATCAGTTACAAATGACAATTACCTCCTCCCTATAGGACAAAACAGAAAAGGAATCCAGAAAGAACTCTTTACCTTGGATTCCTCTCGGAGGCTCTGACCTGCTCACAGGTTCATCTCCAGGTGCTGTCTTTGGTGGTTTGAAGGCGAGTGCACAACAGTGTGGGTACCACGAAATGAATTCCATTTCTAGGAATAAACAGACACACCATTAACACTCATGTGTAGTGTAACAGAACGAGCTATAAAGGTAGCTACTATTAGTTTAGAAGCAGGAAGGCAAAATTCAACTGTACCCACTAAGTTAAATCCAGACACTGCTTTTTAAAACCTTGAACAAAGATAAATGCTTGGAAGTGCTACAAGGCACTGCATTCTGTGACGTGCATTAATTTAACAAGTATCAATCAAAGATAATCTGATTGTTAAACTTGGTCTTTGAAAAGATACAAATAGGCCTTTTAAGCATTAACTTTCTGAAGCTGTCAAGTTGTGGGTGCTTTCCTGCTTTAAATATAAAAAAGCAGCAACTCCCTGCAGCTTTTCAGCCCAAAACCAAAGTTTTACAGAATGACTTTTCATCCAGAGAATGCTAATGACATCTGCTTTGTGTTAAGACACAATGTGAGACTAATCTTGGCAGACTTACCTTTTTTCCTTCAGAAATGATTTTGTAGGGTTACTTCAGGGCTCTGCTACACAAACCTCGAGAGCTTCTCATCCAAATTATGAAGTCAAACAATGAAGATCTGAGCCAGGATGGAAAACTGAGAGAATATTTTTAGACCAAACATAATGAAGACAATTTAAAAAGGTTTAATTGGAAAATTTAACCCCTCACAGCCCCATCCCCATGTCATGATGATATCATTACCTATAGGTAGCCTTACATTTTGATACCTCAGAGGTTAACTGCTTGTGGCCAAATGATACTAAAATTAGGAACCAAGAACTTCTTTCTAGCCCTGCAAGCCACAGGTAAGCTGAGGACCTTCCAGGAGTGAGCATGAACTAACACACTCCTACTGTGCAATCTGTGGGGACTGGAAGACAAGAGATTTTTGAATGAGACAGGTGAAGAGCAAAGTTTTGCTGCAGTATTGTCAGCCAGACTTCAAACAACTTCAGTGATGGAAAAGGGCTGACTACGTTCCTTGGAGAGCTGTAACAGAACAGCTTAGGTCTTTGGATTGTGTCTGTTTGGCTACTAGTTACATGAGCTCCCCTAGAATGTTCATATACACAGGCATCACTGGGTGCCAAGCAAGACATTGCTTTGAGACAACCCATGTGCTGTGCATCACAGCATGACAGAATGCCAGTCTCTACCAGTACTGGCACGTGATTTGGTGGACCTGAGAAAACTTGAGCTGGATCTGAAACAGAATGAAGAGTAAAATTAAATGTTACCCACTGAAGATAAAACAAGGCAGATGGGATTCACCATGTTTGTATAGTACAGACTTCTAGACAGCATAGAACGAGTGTTATGTTACAGGTAAACAGTCACAGCTGGAGGGTTAAATATGTTTATTTTAGTAGTGTAAGGTGGTTTTACAAACAGATCTTTAGATTTTGCAATATACACAAAGGAATCAGTACAAACAAAAAGCAAAATATCCTCTCAACAATGCAGCCTCTATGCAGCCTGAAATAAAATTAAATCCCTGCTTCTCTTTAAAACACATCTCAGTAAACATTCTTCTCCATCACTGGTAAAATGTGCATCTATAATAAATGACATAATAACTGGGGGGGGGACGGGGATGGATGGACAGGAAGACAACGATGACATCCCTAAAAACAGAACGTAAAAAAACTGGGGAGGAAAAATTATTCTCGTGTTTCGGTTGGTTTTTAATTCTGAACGTGTCCATCTACAAAAAATTAAATAGCTCTATTTAAAACATACCTGGAAAAGTTTGCATGGCAGTGCAATACAGAAATAGTAAAATTCATCCAAAAAGTGCTATGTACAGCAGCATTGTTAAAGTACCGGGAGGAAGGGATGGTCTGTTTCCAAGCAAAGACCAGCCTGCTTTTGAGCCATTTCTGAATCAAAGTCAGAAGATGTTTCCAGTCTATTTTCAGTAATTCCCTTCTCTCTCCTGTCTCATTCCCACAGATGATGCTTTGAGACAAGGAACAGTCACAGTTCAGTTAAAAGTGTGTGCATGTGCACAGCTAGGTGCAGACATCTATTTGCATACACACAGATGTGTATATATGTATAGATATATATATAAACAAGCTTGGTTTAAAAAAGCATTGCTTTGGAACAGAGCGAGAGCTCTTCTTCAGAGTCGAGACCATCTGCAATAAACAGGTCCACGATGGAAGATGGACTTTATCTACCACATTACTAATTCATGAAACAATTTCACTGCAATTTGGAATATTTCCCAGAGAAGACACCCTCAGAGGCCTCAAAAAATAAGCAAGGACTGGAAGCATGACTCGCAACCCAGCCTCTTTTTGTGGATCCACAATTTGTAAGAGCAAAATTAACCTTTAGCTGTCATTAGCATCACATTTACCTATTAAACATCAGCTTTAGCTATTTTAAGAAGCAGTTACTGAAATTTGTAAAGAACGTGAGATTTGCATGGAGCAAAATGTGAATGCAAGAAGTGGTGACACACAAGAGAGGCCAAATTTGAGGCTGGGGAAGTGTATTTAGAAAAAAGGAGGTCAGATCACCAGGACTGTAAAAATACAAGTGCCTGATTTCACTCGATGGTTCTATTTCTACAAGCTGACAAATTTAACACTCATCTGTTCTTTTGGAGTCATGATATTAAGGCCCTTTACACTGAAGGGAAGGCCAGGAAGTGCTGAGCCAGATGAGGGTGTTTTGTGCCTCTCAGGTCACTGTGGTTTGCTTGCTAGGAATGTAAACATCACCTTCTTCAGTGCTCCCCAGAACTACAGTTTCAGCATAAAGAAGACTTCTGTGTCAGTGTTATAATCAGTCTGGTTCTTGGGCTGGGATGTAAACACGGCAGGAGAAGCTGTATCTGTACAAACTGCTTTTGCAACGCTGCAGGCTCCCTCGGGATTACCTCTCTCTTCGATGGGGCTGGCACCGAGCTGGCCCAGGCTCTGCAGCCGCTGCCTCTCCTGGGCCTGTTTAGCCCTGTTGGCGATGTACCGCACCCGGCTCTGGCTGCGTGACGACGAGCGGCGCAGGAGCCCCACGCTCTCCCCTTCCTCCTCAGATTCACTTGGGTCAAGGCTGATAGGGGAAGTGATATCATTTTCCTGCTGAAAGGCTGTCAGCTTCTTCAGCTGCTCCGTCAGTTCATCCTGGGATCTGACTGAGGATCTCAGGCCTGAAGAGCGGCGCTGCTCCCGCATTGACCGAGTGACGAAGCTCCTGCTGATGCTACGGTATTTGCTTTCAAAAGTGCACACAATATCATCAGAGGTAAGGTCCCCAAGACTTTTGGATTTTGCCTGGTTATTCCCAACCATGTCCTGTGCTTTGGATTTGTTAGAAGACTGTCTGAGACTTTCTATGTAGAGCCTGCTCCAGGTATGCCTTCTAGGGATGGATGAGAATGCATCTTGAGGACCCCTGGCAAGAGGACGGGAGCACAGTTCATCTGCTGGCAGCTGGCCAGACCTCAGGTTAGGGTTGGATTTGCTCTTGCTCACCATTGGCATCTCGTTACTGGAGGCTGTGGCTGATCGTGGACGCATACCCTTCCTTATGGCAAGGGGCTCAAAATTCTCATGATGGATGCCAAGATCTGGGAGGCTTTTGCGAGCTAGATTGGGGAGAGAGAGATCTATCACAGTGTCATTGGAGGACATGCTGGAAGAGGAGGACATGCTGTCACGATGATTGCTGCAATCTAGCTTGCTCCAGATCCGGTCATTAACAGTGGCATCAAAGTATACCTCTGCTGCTGGAGACAGGTTACTTGGAATTTTTATTAAGGCTGAGGAGTCTGCCATCTTCAGGCCTTCACTCTTTGACCTTCGTACTAACATGTAAGAGCCTGTCTGAGAAACAGGTAGAGCCTGTGCAGCCTGGGCTTTCTGAAGAGTATCTGGAGGCAAAGTTGTGTGCGTGCTGTGAATCGCATCGTTTTGCTGCCGTACAACAGCTGCTGCACCGAGTGTTTGCCCTTTGGATTCAATGGCGCTTCTCATGCCTGGTTGGCCATTTTGGTCCTGGCAGTTCTCAACAGGTTGTCCATCAGTCTTACCTGTTGCCAGTACCAGCCAGGCTTTCTGAGGGTGCACTGCCAGTCCACACTGGTCTTCAGCTTTACTGCATGCCTGTTTCCAGCCATTTTCTTCTTTGAGACATCCTGCCACGCCTGTCCTCTCATCCTCTTGAACTACTAAACTTGTGTCAGCCGCTCTTGTGACTACCTGCACTTGGTCTTCTGCAGCCAGATTTGTTCTTTGCTCTTTAGTGAGTAGAGACTCTTGAGGCTGGTTGGATCTGCTGCTTGCTTCTGATAGAGATTCAGTGGAATGATCAGACACAGATGCTTCTTCAGAATCACTGTAAGGAGCAATGTGCAGAGGGAAGAAAAGGCTGGTGTGATGGTTTTCATTGGCAATAACAGGCTCTTCAGTGATAGTTTCTAGGCTGCATAAAGAAGTGACTGACCTCTGCATGGAGAAATGGCAGACATCTACTTGGGAGACATGAAAAGACAGGAAAAAGAAAGAAAGAAGAAAAACAAAGACATGAGTTAACACCTATTACAAATGGCACTTCAGCTGAAGATTCATTCTTCTTGTGTTATTTTGTTTTCAGGTAGTAGCTGCAGATATTAATAATGATTTTTATAGTAACTTATGATTTAAATCATCTGGCTAAAGGCAGCAAAATCTTCTGCCCATTCAGTTTTACCTCCTCAAAAGCCCCACTGCTTTCAGATAATCTCAGTCCATGCATGGTAGCACCACATTGCCTTTCTGATTATCTCATTCAAACTACCCATCCATTTCTTTGTGTCCTTTGTGCCCCTTCTCATAAAATAACTTTTCTTCCTCCACCTCCCAGCACCACTTGAATTGCTCTTTTCCTTCCTTGCAGCATTCAAACGCGTCAATGCATCAGAGCATCAGCAGACTATGTACAATAATCAGAGCACCACTGCCCAAACAACAGACATGTTCCCAGGGATCAATTACATGGAAGAGAAGCAGCGCTGGATTTCTGGAGCAGATGACAAACAGCACAAGCTATACACATACAATGGAGCGTAGTCAGTGTGCCTTTTAAAACCAAAACTAAACTTTAAACAGGCTAACTTGGTTTTCCTAATGAAGTTTATAATTTCTTTTGCACAGACACGTGGCTCACGAGCACCAGGTGACAGCACAATCCATAGGATCCCTATGGCCACCAACTACCTGAAGGGAACTCTCCTTCTGCCTGCAGTGTTCATAACCTGTATCCCAAGAGCCAAAGCAATCACGCCCAACAGACTATTTCCCACATCTCCAAACCACAATGCAAACATGCACTTGAGAACTAGCAAAGCACCACTGAGCCAGACAACAACCTTAAGAACATAGGAGCAGATAATTATATGTCAGGAAACAAACAAAAACTGGGACTACAGGCAACAAGGTGCTTTGATCAGTGACACTCAGGAGACAGTTACCTTTGGCTTGCTTGTCCTTTCAGTTCTTAACTAGAAAGAGAGAGTGTGCATGTGGAATAATAGGACAGAACAGAGGAAAAATCCAGTTAATGTAGGGAAGGCAGGTGCAGGTAACAGGATAAATTAGTGCTGAGGGAAGGAAGGGAAACAGACAGAAATATTCACGCATTCTTGTAGGATCCTAAGAATTTCTGACCAACCAGAGCACTCAGTGGGATCCATAAATGGAGGGATTTAAAATCCATTATTTAGTGATAGAAAAATAAAGAGCAATTTTTGCTATTGTTCAATAAATGCACTCTGCTGGGCTGGGGAATGGAATTCAGCCTCCTCTTCTCCAAAGCCCTTTCCTAATGCTAAGGGAAAAGATAACCTGCATTACCAAAAAATTCCAAGGAAATATTGGGCCTTTCCCTTCAACACCAGTATTCCCACCCCAGTGCAGTGACAAGACGCTTAACGATGGAGAAAGCCGCTCAATGGCCCATGTGAGATCAGCTGGGAGTGTTCAAAGGGAAGGCAGCACGTGTGTCCATAAGCAAACCCCACTATTCACAACACAACAGAACTTGTCAGGATCTGGAGGAGGATTGGGAAGAGTTTGGAGCTGATCAGACCAACGAGCTCTGCTCCCCATCCATCAGCATGGGGAAAACCTTGGCCTGTCAGCACAGATTATGGGACAATTACACAGCCCAATACTGGGAACTGTAATGCTGCTGCCATTAAGGGGACAATGAGAGACTATAGTTTCCTGTCTTATCCCAGTGGCACTTCCCACCAACGGACTGTTAATTATGAAATGCACCCATATTAGGCTGATGTTACTGGTTTCCCTGGTTTCTTGGCACAAGGCATTAAATGGAGGGCGGATGGGGAGAGCACACTGTGCAAGCACAGTGTTTTGTTACTGGATCAGCAGCAGCCACTCCAAGTGGCTGCTTCACCATTTTAAAGGTTTGCTGAGTCCATGCTTGGGAAGTCAGATGGATTTAATCAAATTTCAAGCATATCACAGTATTTATTTAGTGACTTGGGGGGCTGGCAGGGGAGCTGGCACTGGTAATGGGAAATGGTTTCATACGGCACACTACTCAGAGCTTATGAAAAACCTAATGCCAATAATCTGGGCATTGAAAGAGTTCTGCTACTTTGGATTCATTTCAAGGCATGGGAATGGGCAAACTTCTCCCCTCTGCTCCCATTGCCCTGGGAGTTTCCTAAAAGCCTCAAAGCAGATATTGGAAAAAATACATAAAAAGTAGAATTAAGAAAGAGAAATAGAAAAATCGTAGGCACTGAACCAGATTTAACTGATCAAACAAATGGGGCATTTTACATTCCTGTATGTGGCTCTCAAAGAAGCCACAATCTGTTACTAAAAAAGGGATTGCATTCCAAGAAGCACCAAAGTCCCCTAATGTTCCCAAAAATATAACCTTGTCCAAATTCCTGAGACAATTAAGGGAAAGGGATTGGAGGAGATGCTTTGTAGTCACAGACAAAAGCCGTGTTTCTTTACTTCCTCTTCATAATTGTATGAAACAGAAAATCTTGCCAAAATCTCTTCCCTACCTCCTCTCTTTGACAAACCAGGAGGGTAAAAAAGCATCAGCTTCCTTATTAAAATGTAAACCTTGATCACCTCTGCTCCTGTTCTCCATCTCCCCAAACATCCAGCTCATGAGCACAGACACAGCTGCGCAATCCCAGGGACCACGTGCATATTTCTGCCTGGGCACAGCTATGAAATGCTGTAGCTTAAGCAGCTGTCCTTTAAACCAACACATTTTACTCTGCAACCTGGAAATGCCAACAGTCCACCTAGCTCGGCTGGTGTCAGGCAACATCACATCAGATACCTCACTCCTTTATACCCTCGGGTCACAGTCAAATCACATACATAACACTAAGCACATCTATAAATGGGGATTTAGACATTTAGGACCAGAATGGTCTGCTGTATTCATTAAATGTGATCTCCAGAATAACCCAGAGAAGAGAATTCCATCCAGTAATCCCTGAACTGACGGCAGTAAGTTTGCAAGTTCTTTGAGGAAGGAATTAGTGCTACTGCCAGCAGAGTGCATCGTTTCTGGTGTGGTTATCCCTCAGTGAAACACAAATACTGATAATGAATATTGTTTGTTAAGACAGATTTCCAATGGCCAATCTCTACTTAATGCTCTGGTTTGGATCTTAAAATTCACTTAGTATCATACCACATTCACTAAAAACCCAAAACACATGAGGAAACAAAACACCCTAAACAAGCAACCCAAGCACTGATGGGCCATTGACAGTTCTACCACTGCAGATGCTCAGCTAGGCATGGGAAGGACTAATCTAGACCAGACACTTCTAGGAAAGAAAATAAAATAAAATACAAACATTTATGCAGACTTTTTTTCAGTCATTGCCAACAATAAAGAAAAAGAGCTTTTGGTAACAAAACAACAGAGAGGAGCTGCCAGGTAAAGCTGCTATGCAGAAGCTGAGACAATTATGTGATCTACGGTGGAGAAGGGTGAAGAAAATCTGGTCTTACCAGTAAAGAATATAGGGGATTTACTTCGAATTTCCTCCAACTTTTGAACGAACAAGGCGTTCATTTCCCTCTGTAGGGTACCCACTTGCCTTCGAGAAGTTTCAGAACAGCGCTTGGGGAATTCTGGGCTTCCAAGGCTTTCTAGACTGCTGGAGTTGGAGGATACAGAGCCATTGCTGGCTGCAACCAAGTTGACAGTGCTTCCATATTTGCCACCTGATTGGCACTGCCACTGCTGCCGGGAATGAGCCTTTATTCCATGACATTTAGATTCAACAGTTTTCTTCCCTGGGGTCACAAAAGACTGGGTGCTCCTTGTTAGATCATCACCAGTTCCAGGGCTGCTGCAAGACTGCAAATCTGCTGCTTGCCGCCTGGGCTGAGCTTTCACAGGTTTAACACCCCAGTTTTTTAGCTCTAACCTCTCTTCTCCAGTTATACTGCTATACTGGTCATGGTGAAGTATATCTTTAGCAATAGGCCTGGTAGGATGGTCACTCCACTGGCATTCTAGATCTGGGCTTTCCTGGGAGCCAATCATGCATTTCATGCAATTGGTGGCCACTCCAATCCTACCAGAGCTGTTGATGGCACAGCGTGCAAAGACGCTTTGCTTCTCGCTCTGGTGCTCCTGAAGCCGGACCCTGTCAGACCTCTGGATGGGTTCACTGAAAGCAGCACCCCCTCGAGCACAGCTTTGGCTTTCGGCTTTATGGGAACCATGGGCCTTACCTTTCAACCCCTTGCCATGCACCTCCCCACTGGCACCATCTCGGGGAGCTGGTGTCAGGGGAGCGCTTTCTGCCTCCTGCTCAAAGCGAGGCTGTGAGGCAGCGTCCACTTCATGGTCTTCACTGACCCCTTCAGAGCTGTTGTCTTTTGTGTCAAAAGCAATTTCAGGAAAGCCCTTCTTGTTCTTCTTCTGGCTCTTGGTGGGCGCACTGGCTGTCCTCCTCAGGATGTGGCTGCTAAAGGAATGTTTGCGATGGAGCTGACCAGCAGCATGACTGTCCAGAGAGGCCTGCTTTGGATTTCTGAGAAACAGACCTTTTAGACCTAGAGCCTGTTTGGCCTGGAAAATTAAAACAAAACAAAACAACATGTCCTTAATTGAAAAATCAAGTGTCTTCCTTGGGCCACAGGAACTCATGCACAAATTATCAGGTCACATATGCACTATGTATAGAGTCTCCTGCCGTATTCCTACCATCAGCATGAAAACTGAACCAGAAATAGGACAGAGATGAAAAATGAAACAAATCAGTAACAGCAGCTTTGCAAAACATTGTGTCTTTCTTTGCTCAACTATGTTTTTAAGATAAACTTTTCCAATCAGGCTTATCTTTGTATCTGTCATCATTTTCTTACTGTAGAAATAATGGTAATTTTAAAAAGTTACTTTAAAATCATTTTACTTGTCCTGCAGCATGATGTGGTTATAGAATTTAGTTGATAGTGACCTCTTAAGCTAAAGAATATTCTTGAGTTAAACAGGTAATAATAAATTGGATGTTCAAATGGAGATTTCCATTCTTCAGGAACTGTTGGGAAATAAACTGTGGACTAAGAGTATCAGATTTTTTCCCTATAAAGGAGATCTACACTTCAATTGAATTGACCTCTCCTATGAACAGCAGTTGAACTACCTGCCTGATAAATGATCATCAAATACTTCAATTTCCACTTGTGTGATTATGTTTTGATAAGTTCCTACCATACAACACTTATCCAAAGACACTCAGGTATGTTTGCATCACTGAAGAAACACACTATAAACAAGCCAAGTTAGTCATGGTGATAATACAGTACTTTGTAAACTTCAGTATTATTTAAGCATCAAACATATATCCACCATTATAAATCTCCCACCATCATACAGCTGATTTACATGTCAGTGAAACAGAGAGGTTCAGCATTCCTGTAAACATTCCGGGTGTATTTGCCAACTTTTAAAGCAACAGGCTGATGCCTGATAAGGACCGTGTTGGGTGTGCTCTGTACAAAGAGCCTCCACACATAAATCACTTAGAGCAGAGACACGGTATTTTTCTCCTATTTGTTTTCTTGATGTCCCAGTTAAATCAGACTCTTTAGCAGCTGTAGCACAAAGAATGAATAAAACCAGAGGACACAGGCTTGTGACTGAAATGCATGTTAAGAAGCCCATGATAAAATGTGAGCAGTGTCCATGCTTGCTGGCACTTGCTGTCAGTTCAAGTCGTGCCATGTGAGGTCACATTCCTGCAGTGCCAGCCAACAGCACAGAAATGTCTCATTTAAATTACAGTGGTCTCTCTTTCACCTCAAACTATTCAAGTGCATGCTCATGCATTTCAGAGTTTGCTTTGTAGCACTTCATGGATAGATATGGGCTGCGCTGTACACTAAGCCTGGGTTAAAAGCTGCTTTTATTCCTACGTGCCCTGTGCAATCTTCCCCATGGGATCAAGGTTTATTTGTATGCCACAATTTTTATAGCTGACTGAAGATTAGTTACTGCATGCCAAGACCCAGTATGAGGAGAAGATGATTAAGGAGACCTAAATTGGCCTTTAAAAGTATATACAGGATAAGATGAAGACGGTAGGGATTGATTTTTCCCATACAAGGCAAAGAAGATGTAATTTACATATTGATAAAGCTCTGCGAGAGCCAGACTAATGAACAGGCTGCCTGGATCATTTTGAATTTCACTTCAAATTGAGTTTGTGCAGTTGTTGAGGAGTGAAAGGAAAAAAGCATTCTGCTCCAACGGAGACAAGTTGGCAAGTACATGGATTTAGTGCTCTAAGAAACAGACAACGTAAGGATTTGCAAAACCCAGAGAAATTGTCATACACTGCCCCCCAGCAATATCCAACAAAAGGAAAGCACTGATGGAATGGGTGACAGCAGTGCAGGGCTCCAGGTATCAGTCTAGCTTACTCGGTGCATCTTTGTTAAGCTAGCTACTACTGCTTGAATCAGTGGAGTGATTCAAGATCCCAAACTCAAATTCAATTAACTCAGGGGAAAAAAAAAGCTGGAAAAAAAAGGGAAAAAGAGGAAAAAAAAAAAAGAAAGAGGAGAGCCATTTTGACGGAGATCCAGAACTTGGGCTTTCAGCTCCAGTCCAGCTTTGACAGGACTACTGCATTCTTTAAAGCAGACTTGGAAAACAGCACAAGAGGCTTTCCCACAATTTAGCAAACAATTCACTGTTAATCATAGAATCACAGACTGGTTTGGGTCTTAGTGGAACAGACACCTTCCACTAAACCAGGTTGCCCAAAGGCCCATCCAACCTGGCCTCTTACTGTTCTCTTCCATGTGAAAAAGTGGTTTGAATTACACCAGAAAAAAGACACTAGAGGTAGAGCCTCAAAGATGATAGAAAAGGAGGGTAGGAAGGGCTTGCATCCTGGATCTGCTTCATTCATGGAGGGCTCTCTGATCAATGACCCCACAGAACTGACCAAGTCAAATGTCGCCATTCACATTACATGAGTTGAGGAGCTTCAAAATATTACTAAGGAAACACTGATGTTAATGAAGCAGCTAGTCAGAGGCATGCAGGTGTGTCGTGGTGGTCACTGCACCTCCCTGAGGCAGGAGGGGGTACCTTCAAGGCGTCTAAAAACGCTCTGCTTCTAAAAGTAGACTTTTTGACATAGAGAAGCCCACTGCAATCACAAACAGACAGAGTAAAGGCAAAACAACAGTGAGGGAGGATCTCAGAGATATGCACATCTAGAAAACCACATTCTACAGTACATGAATAAACTACAGGAGAGACAGGGACAAAGAAAAGCACCTCCAGGAAACAGAGCAATCTAAGAGAGATTTCAGTTAAATACAAGTTAAGGTGAAAAAAAATCTAAGACTCTGCCTCAGTAATATCAAGCTACAGAGCAGGTGCAATACCTACAAATAGAAAAAAGCCTCTAAAGGGTAATGCTTGGATTAGAATATCTGGATTTATAAAGGGTAAAGCCAGGCTGATAACCCTGGTGATTTTTCTGACCATAATTAAGAGAGGGGAAGCAGGGAAATAATCCTCGTTTCAACAGCACTCTGTTAACTGAGAAACCAAAGCAGAGCATGATTCCAAGACACCAACCCAGGAAGGGCTGTGCAATAGCTGCTCCATATTTTCAGTAGTTTCTATTAAAAATGATAAACTAATTCAAACACACATACGAGCTTTCCTTCCTATTCCTTGTACTTCAATCCCATCAGTGCACAGCACCAGCATCTTAACACCAGTAAATCCAAAGAGACTGCAGTGATAATTAGATGAAATAAGGGGTGTTTGATAGACATAGGACATGAAAAGGGAATAAAGCAATCAAAAAAGCAAATCAGGATGGAAGCCAGCGGATAAGGACACAAAGGATGCACACAGGGGTCCTTCAGTTGTTTAAAACACTTACCAAGAAAATCTGAAGTCCTCAAAATAGCTGCCAAAGTTTAAATGGACATTGCACTACTGCAAATTATAACTGTCACCAGGCAGTTACTCATGAAACAGACAATAAGAGCAAATGCTTATTAAAGGCTGGGTAAAGTAAAGATTTAAAGGGAGATAATGCTGTGCAATGTTGCCAAAGAAGATTCGAGGTGAAAACTCTTAAAACATTCACACAGACTGCGAACATTGTCTCTTCATGAAACCCTGCTATAGAGAGCAGTGACTTGGAAGCTGATGAAGTTACTAGTCTGTGATTAAGGCATGCAGGCTCAGCTTGGCTTTCATTTAAAAATCCCATTTGCAGTGGGTACTGACTTAAAGAACTGGACTTCCAATGAAGGATGCTGAAACATTTGCTATCCTTACAATAGTACTGCAAGAGCAGTGCAGAGGACATCACCTGACAGTAGCAAACAACTGGAGGATCATGAATGCACACAACACAGGGAGAAGGAGGAGAATCTGCTTATTCTGTATCATTTTGAATAAGAACAGAAAGGAAGAACTGACAAAAGGATGAGTAGAGCTGGCCAGGGCAGTCACCTTCCCTGCTGGATGCATACAGCAAATCGATGCCTGCTTTCATTAAAGCATAGGTGAGGGATGCAGGCACTGCTCAGACCAGTTCCATCCCTCTGGCCTCGTGCCCAGCTATCTCACAGGAACTCCAAAGAAGTTCATGACAAAATATAAAGCTGGTTGAGTCTGCAAGTGTCTGTAAGGCTTCTGAGACAATGGCATCCCCACCCCATCAAAACAGGCACAACTTACATCCTATACAGCTCCCTTCAACCCCAAAATACAGTCAGGAAAGATCTTAGCATTGAAATGTTCAGCCTGCACCACTTTTCCCTGAAGCCTGGGACTAAATGACCATTGTCCATGACCTGGGTGCCTGTGACAGGCCCTACAGCCCAGAATTAAGCACTGCTCATCTGCATTGTCCTGCTTGTACCAACACCAACCACCTCTCTTTCACCTAAATCTCCTAATGTCTCTGTGCTTAACAGAGCTAAATTCAAACTGATCCATAGTGCCATCACAAGGAGTTCCAGGCAGGACTCCTATCCTGTCAGGATGAAGCTACACCTGCCTAAAGGTTTGGCATTAGACATCAAATAAAAAAAGCAGGAACTGAGGTAAAACGTCCAAAGAGACATTCTTTCCCAAAACAGCCCTTCCTCCCATAAATACAAACCGAGGCTTTCCTGGGATTTATCTCTGTTTCATCCCACAAAAGTCTGGATTAAAATCGAGCAGTTAAAAAAGCGGCTTTCCTTTCTAAGAATTGCTTTCATTGAACAGCCACCCAAGCAAGGGAACTCGGGATTCCCGGCCTGTTCAATGCTGCCCTCTGCTGTCAGGATGCTGATATTGCAGTTATCCTGAATTTCACTGAAATTAGCAACACGGAAGAAAACAAATCTAGTGCACTGCGAGGAAAGAAGCTAGCTCATTCTCGGGTGGCCTAGGAAGAGCCTGAAGTTAGGGCTTTCCTTTCCGCTTGGAGTTATTCGTGTGAATTTAGATACAGCACCCAGATAGTTTAATCCTTGAGAATTTAATTGAAGTGTGAAAGCATCAGGCAGGCAGAGCCTTTATAGAATAAGCTTTACATGCAACAAGCAGTCAGGGTTCAGGTGTGTAACGCTTTGTTCAGCAAGGTGCACTTATTGTGTTGGATACAATCATCACACAAACGTGTGACGGCTGCAATGAAATAACTTTCCCCCCTGGCTCCCACAAAAGGCACTGCAAAAATCTCTTTTTGATTTGCCTTTATCTCTATGTTATTCAGAAAGATCTCAGGCTACCATGACAATCACAGAGATGGAGTTTACTCTGGTTGAACAAGCTAGCTTGGACCTTCAATGACTGGGCTTCTCCACTGTGATACAAAATCCTGTCAGCTCACTTACGTACATATTCTATCCCACTGAAGACACTCACCTTACCACAGATGTCATTAATTGCCACATGAACAAAGATGGATGCTTCTTCTATACCCTCCAGGTACACATGCCGGTAACCTGAAACAGATGATAGGATCTAGAGACTCTGCTTTTGTAAAGAGTAAAAGAAATGCACCATTTTATTCCCAGTTCCTCCCTGCAATAAGCATCCAGGCTTGTGCATCACCCAGCCACACTCAGTTACCCAGGAGCCAGAGCACTCACAAACCTCATTGCCACCTCGTCTGTCACCCTGTAAGTTTAGAAAAAGCCGTGTCCTGTTTTCTCCAGTGTCCATTATTGCTGCTGTCAGACCGTAACTTACAGTGTGTGACTTAAACTACCTTGGGGACTTACAGTCTATCGTTAATACTGCAAACATTTCAACCAAGTTCATTTCCTTGAGATGTTTGATTTTTTGGCTGCTTGTTTTCAACCTTAAACAGAAACTTTGTTCTTTACTTTGAAAGAAAAGGAAAACATACAGAGAAGAAGCTTTAATGTGAAAGAAGACTGAATTCAAAACAGAACTAGGAAACTGGCAGAAAATGGCTTTTAATAACCTGGATCCCATCATTAGAATGGGTAACTAGTAGCTCTATGTTAAAATATTACTGATTGTAATAAGGCCAATCAAGCTCCAGTGACTCTCAAAACACTCGTGTACAGAAAATGGAGGCAAAAAGCAGTATGAGGCAACAGTGGTAAAGATTCTCTATGATAGTCTTCCAAATGCACAAGATTCAGTCATCCTGCATAACGATCTTACCCATTTTTTGTAAACCTAGTCCTGTAGAGCTGATTTAGTCTTGAGCATTACCTAAGTCAGGATTGAGGCAAGGGAGAGAACTCAGGGTCCAAACTCCCAGTCTCTTGTTCAAACCAGAAATTCCCACAGCACACATGAACCCTGCATTTTGCAGCTTCAGTTATCACAGAAGAGGATTTCAGCACTCCGGTCTTACCTGGCATCATGCTGCTGAAAGCTATTGTCCTCTGGCCAATGAAATCACGCCCAATTGGATCATGATCCCATACGAGGAACCGAATCAGTGCGATCTCTGGCATGTGCACTGTGAACACCAGCGTTTCCTCCCACATGGGGTTAAAACCTTGGAATGAAGGAGTCAGCTTTTAGACATTCCTTTCACAAGTTGCAAGAAGAAACAAGACTGCCTACATAAGGAATGCCTAAACTGCAATGCCACTCTGGTTTTCCTAATAGTGTGATCATTGTTCTTGGAAAATCCAGTACTCCCACTGACTTCAGATGGAGACACAACAGCACAAGAATTTGCAAGAAATAGTTGGATCTGACTTACATTTGGCCATGCTTTCAGCAGGTGTTTGGACAAGCTGCTTGCTTTTGACCACAGCAAACTCTAAACACCCTTCTCATACACAATGAGAAGTCAGACAAACGCTGTGTTTCACACCAAGACCTTCACAACATTATACCAACTCAGTAGAACAATTCAAGACCCAAGTCTGATGAACATCAAGAATGCTCAAATCAATTTTTCAGTGCTTTGTCATAATAGGTACCAAATTTCATCTATTCATATCTCTATGAACAAAACTTGCCTGAAAGAGGATGTTTCAGCCATAAGAAAACAAAGCCCCACATAATCTTACCATTATCATCAACTACTCTAGTTTGTTCTTTGAAGCAGTCGACAGGTAAACCTATGACTTCAACTTCCACAAACGGATCAATGATCTGGAAAACAGAAAGTAGCAAATACTGAAAAGAAAGAGTGACGAAGCTGAAATTCCAGCCCGTGGATTTTACAGTGTGGGCATTGTACGTTATTGTCTTAATAATTATTGGTCCTGAGCCTTTCTGTAAAGTATTATTATGCTGATGAGAGATCTGTGGCTAAATCATGTAAAGCATAATTTGGAATCATCATATTGTATGCATTTGTGATCATTTTTCTGTTCTATTCTATGGATCATTTCTGTGTTCTTTCTGTACAGAAAGAGTAAAAAGAAGATGATTGCAACATTCACATAAGAATCGGGCTTGTAAGAACTTGCTTGAGAGGTTTGATTCTAATTGCAAAAGGCTAAAAGGGAATTTTAACTCTGGCAGAACTTCATCCTAGCATTCACTAAAGACTATTCTTCGATAAAGTCATGTGGGTGACATCGTGACACCAACAAACGGCACAAGAAATGAAGAAGAAAGCCTCTAAAAAGTTTCCAAGGGGTGACACATCTGGCTGTATTGGCAAGGGTGTTCTGGAGGAAGGAGGAAATTTAGAATACTATGGTGAGTAGAAGTTCACTATGATGAGCTTAGTGCCCCCTTTTTGCTCCTGCTGGAGGCACTGTATTGACAACTGGAGGAAAAGCATCACATCATGTGATACTTAGAAGTGAAGAAAACCACCTAAAGATCCAGGATATTAATGACCTGATTTAGTCATAGACTATGTCTCCTGACAGACTAACTGCAGGAAGTTAAATCCTCATCTTTAGCCCAGCCAATATGGAAATAAACCTTCTCCAACATGCAAGCACAATCACAGACTGTGCCATACCTCTCCTCTGTCTCCCAGCATAGAATCACGTGGTTTGGGGAGCTGTTGACCACTGATAATTCTTAGAACTAGCTGTTTCTTCAATTGACCAGGCAGCGGGTCTTCAGAATTTGGATTAAACACACCTGTACGAAGAAGTCACATAATGTGAAAGAAGTGCAACCTGGGGCACATCTTCAGCTGTAGATACCTTATGGTCTGCTTGCTTTGAGTATCAGAAATGCATTTTTAAACAAACTGTAGTAAGGATCCACACCCTCTCTTCTCATGCAATAAGTGATCCACTCATTTTGCTCATTTTTCTTACCTTGACACATGCAGCTTGGTTTGAGGACATAGCCACAATTCCCATTGGCACTAAATTTGGCCCGGTTCAGTTGCAGCATTCTCCCCTCTGACTGGTAGTTTAGTGCAACTAGTTAAAAAAAAACAACACAAAACCTGGTGATATTACTTACTGAGTACATTAACATCGTTCTATTTTGTAGAACCAAGTTAAAGGAAGGACACCTAGACACACTTCCACATTTGACTTCTTGGCTGCAAAACCTCAAGTATTTTAGGAAAAAGAATTCTTCTATATATCACAGCTTCAGGGAGAGCAGCTCTCCAAAAGAGCCTGAACTCTGAAGTCCTCTTGCATTTCAGAAGTTCATTTATTTCCATTTATCAGACAACTACTTGCATGTAAGACACATGTTTGAGGCTATCTGTCTAGGTAATAACATGGTAACAAGGAGAACTCAATTATCAATAAAGTTGGATCAGCAGAGAACTCAGTGTTCTACGGGGTGATTCCAGAGCTCCTACTAAAACATCCCTCCCAAAATATATCAGAAATAAACAGGTTTTCTTTCTTCTCACCAAGTTGGCAGCCAGCATTCCAGAATGGCTGGGGATTGTAGTTGCTAGAGTCCACACGGTAAGAAGACGGGTAGATGCGGGACAACTGATGCTGGTTGAAACGCAGATACTGTGCTGGCTTTTGCTGCAGTATCTGGTGGGCTTTTGTTTCACTGAAAGATGAAACCTGCCAGCTGGAAGAGACTACAAAGAAAAGATTAGAGGTAATCTCCTTATTATTTAGATAAAGCATTCAAGCCTACAAAGCACCAGTTCCTTAAAAGTATCAAGCATCATTTGAATAGAACCCACCCAGAAAGAACTACACTTTTCTAATATTACAGCAAAATCAGTTCTTACTGGAGGAGTTATGGCTGGGAATGAAGCTGGATACAGAGAATGACCTGAATCTTCGTTAAAATGTTTTAAAAAGTGATCCAAGATTTTTGGGATACAAGAAGAGAGGTAGGAACAGAAACCTTTCCTTTTCTTTGTATAACAATTATTTTCAGCAGACTTTCAGCTCAACCTACTTTCAGTTTCAACATCGTGGATGCCAACAGACTTTGTGTATTTCACCAGGTCAGAGAGTGCCCTGGACAACTTCATTGTTTTCTTCTGTCGGTTTACCCTAGAAAGATAAAACAAATTCATTTCCCATTAATTAAGGAGTAAATTTTATCTTTCCTATTTAAAAATCAGTCAGGATAAAGATATACAAGAAGGTGGGAGACACTACTCAAATCTGGTGGGGATTACTCTCAGTTGTTTTGACCAAAAGGTGGAATAGCTATTCACATATATATTTACTTGTCAACTGCTAACAAAGAAACTTTTTAAATCCCAAAGAAACAATATGAAACTCATGCTCTGCTCCTCATTTGCTTCAGGTTTTCACTAACAGCATATCTACTAACCTCCCAAAGAAAACTCCAAAGTATCCTAGAGTACTGCTTGATCTAATTTCATACTTTTGAAGCCTGAAGCTTAAGCAACCATTCTGCAAAGGATCTTTGATGTCAGGGTTTTGAAGAGGCAATTTCAAAAGAAAAACCAAAACAATCACCTGAATGTTGGTGCAACTTCATTTAGCAAATTCTAAAACAACTAAAAACATCAGCTGGGGACCAGATACTCCTCAAATCCGCCTTAATGGATGCACTGGGCCACCAGCCAAGTGGCATGTATGTCAGCTGGATGACATGGTAAGAGCTCAAAACATAAACAAGGTCCAATGTACTTTGTTAATTAGTCTGAATGGCAACAGCAGTTCATTCTGATGATCTAGTGGCAGCCACCTTTATACCAGATTCCCATCATGTGCCTGCAGCCTTCAGCAATCTGCTTCTAGGCACAATATCTATTTAGTGGGTAAAATTATGTAGTTACCTTCTTTAGAAACAAAATTGTCAAATCACTTGTTAACAAACCTGCTGTAATGTACGGAGCTCCTGGCTACAGTTCCTTGAGAATCCGAATCATCTTCCCCCTCTTCCAGACTTGCTGCCTTTTTCAATTTGCTTCCTTTTTTCTGTGCCACAAGGAAATAAAACCATCATGTCGCAACTGTCTGAGGAATCTGCTATGCAGTGTTATAACCAGAGGCAGTTATCCAGCCTCTCTATTTAAGTGAACAGTCTGATAGCAAGCCTCTGCCAGACAATGCAATTACAATGCTGTTCTCCACCCATGTGTGCAAAGACAAAACCTATCCAAGAATATAACATTTAGTGCAGACCAAAAGTACCAAGCGTCTCACCTTGCGCTTGGAAAAGCTGCCCATCAATGACCTGCCGTGCCTCTTACTGGTGCTGAAATCTTCCCCAGATTCCACATCATCCTCAAGTTTAGTCTAAAGCAATCAAACAGAAAGAATAGCATAGCAGGACAAAGAGAGTGCCAGACAGCATATCTGAACAACAGAACTGGACCAGGCTGATGCAGCCTTTAGTTTTGAACACAAGCTGAGTACAGGACTTCATACCCCAGCAATAACTGCCATCATTTTCATCCATGGGAACTTCCAGAGCAGACAGAAATCACACAAATACCTAATCCCAACTTCATTTTCATCCAGGCAGAGCCTGAATGCCCCCATACCACGTACAACCACTGACCCCCAACTGGTTTGTAGCTTAACATTTGGAAAGCATAGTTTAACAGGACTTACTGCTGGCAATTACAGTTCCGGTAGGATACTCCATGGTAAGAAAGAAGAAATATTCTCGTAATCCCTAAAAATGTATATACATCCTTGGTGCCTCTAGTTTTAATACGACCTTGCAGTTTCATTGCTTTCTAGACTAATACAACACAGACTGTTCTGGTTAACACCTACACAAAAGGATTCTTGAAGAGCATCTTACAAGAATAACCACCTCATGTGAATCAATAGGCTTGAAAGTAGCTACAGAACTCATGCCATAGAAAGTTTTGGGAGGCTGGTTTCAGTTCTCATCTAGTTTTAAACCCTAGTTAGTACCTCTGCTTATTATTGACAGATCTCCAAGAGTTTTCATTTGCATGCAACATTCTTCCTAAGCTTTTTGGGGCTTATTACAAATTCTAAGACAAAGCCTCAAGTTCTTGAAGTGGAGCTGTGGGCTGAGCACATTTTTATAAATAAGCATTAGTGTAAAATTAAAATGCAAATGTAGATGCGCAGAACATAGAGAACGGAGGGGGGAAAGCCCAACTTTCCTGTGCACTTTGTGTAATGGAAAATAAACTTCTTCCTGTTAAGAAGTCATTTCATGTGCACATTTCATGCTCCAAATGCTGTGTGAGCAAGAAAAAAAGCTTTGTGTATCTGACAGTGATGTTCACCTGGCATCAGCAGTAACAGAATGAATTCAGCTGTGAATCCCAAGTCAGCAGTATAGGATTTATTTAGTAAGCTAATAAAACACAACAAATGGAAATGCTAAACACCTCTTTCTCTCAAGTCACTGCTGAAAGTTACTGCAGTTTGGATTTCAGTTTGTATCTTGAACGACTGCTATATTTCATTATTCACCTGCAACAACAGAGTACCCCTTTGCATCAAGTGTGAATCATAAAACCAGATAAAATTAAAATCTCATGATCAGCAAATGAAAAAGAAGCTTCCACTATGTGGACATAAGTGTAAAAAGTATTCTTCCTTATCTCATAGCTTCTGTAAGCAACACAAGGCGTTAATAAGATGTCAGGACAAAACAGTACAGAAAATATTAAAGAAGGGAACGTGTTTTCTCACATATTGAAATAGCCAAATAAGCTATGGTCAGAGCAGCCATCCAGGAATGAAAACGTAGCTTCAAAATCCCAGGGCTGCCTAAGTCTGACTGGGGACACGGACCTGGGTCTCCCACATCCCTGGAAAACATTTTGGACATCTGGTCATGTTGTATTATCCGCGTTAACCTAGAGGGGTCCTAATGGCAAACAGACTCCACAAAAATCATTGTGGGACTCACACTATCATGCATTCAGGGAAATGCTGAGCATTCTTTAGTTTCATTAGTTCTAGTTAGAGCTGCAGATAGGCAAACTGAGCTATCTTTACCAGGGAGTCCCAAAACAGATTTAAAGCCCAACTGCAGACATCCACCTATGAAAGAACAAGCATTATTGTTATGAAACAATAACACGATGTAGCTACAGAGACAAACAGAACAACAATCAGGTCCACTGAAGTACAATAAAACATGTTCACCTTCTTACTGTCTGATTTTAGGCCAGTCTTTCCTGATGGTAGAGTGGCAACTGTAAAATTGTTTGGATCTTCACAGTCACGGATTTTGGATTCTTTTATCAGTGAGTCAAGCTTTTTCTTTGCTATATTCTCCACTCTTTTCCTGTTAGTAGATGCCTATAAACAAAACAGAATCATGAAATCAAGTAGTGATGAAGAAAGTCTTAGCAATTCCAGCCAGGATTAATGCAAGCTAAAATGTTGCATGCAAGAAAAAAAAAAGAGAATAAAAAAAGAGGTTCTTCATGTGCATAATGTGAAGCAGGTACCTGCAGGTTGGTATTAGACTTAATGTAAGGTATGGAAGCATAGGAGACCCTGAAGCAGGTGTTAGATCTAAACAGATTATCTGAAGTGATGAGAGAGTAAGACTAATTAATACAGTTCTAATTTAATATTTTAAAAACCCCAAATTAGTTTTCCCCTTTGGTAGACTTATTCACAAAGAAGTTTCTTTTTCAGTTTTAGATGAAAATCCATAACACAAAATGAGGGAAGGCCCTAAGGACTGAAAAAGCAATCTTGTTTCAAGGCAATCTGGTTCATGCTATTAAATGGTTTTGCTGTGCATTTTATCTTGTTTCTGTGAGATGCAATGTCACTTGCCAAAAGATTAAAGTGACAAAATATTTAACCTGTTAAAAGGATGAAAAAGAAGGCAATTTCAGATGGAGGCAAGCAGAGTTTAACATGTTCTCCTTCTTATCATCTCCTTGCAGTGAAAATCAATTAAACCCAGCATTCAGCAAGCCAAAGGGGTGCTCTGCAACAATGACCATAATTTGGCGTAAGCAGAACTTTTTCCTTTCTTTTTTTTGCATTTGAGGGGAAGAAGAACCCCATGAAGGTTTAGAACCTAAAAGACTTGGCAATGAATCCCAAGGATTAGACCACATCCACATTCTAAAGAGCTCATACAAGGTTTCTTCTCAGTGGGATGGGAAAACCTGACTTATATTTACATTCAAATGGTTACTTAACTTACATCTCCATTCATTAGTTTACAGTCATCATCAATCTCATCAGCACTGTCCTCATCAGAAACTTCACCCTCCTCTGCATCATCACTGATGTTGGATGGAAGTTTCTTCCCCTACAAGATAGTGATTACACAGGCAGGTTAGCGTGCAGCTCTTGCTAGCACACAAGAAAAGAAAAAGTATTGCAAGCATGTAACCAGGCTCTTATTGATTGAGAAAGCATTTGTTCAGGACCTTAAGCACCAGGTCCTTAAAGACTGCTTTTTGTAAACTGATTTATGTTAGGGTATAAGCAAAAAGCAAGCAGAAACCATAATCATCACAAAGAAAAAGAGGGATGGAACAAATGAAGCAGGTTTTTACCTTAACCAGTATCTTTCCTTTAAGACTTGCTGGTGAAGGGAGAGTGGTAGAATCATCATTATGCACAGAAGACAGATCCAGTTTGTCTCCCAGGATTTCTGTAAGATACTGAGCCATCTTCTTCTGCTGAATGACACTGCAATGGTTCTCAATTGACAAAATAACAGGGTACCTGGCAGAGACATAAGCAAGTATCATCAACTGCAAATTTAGCTTTTATAGCATTAAGATGATAAGGGTTATTTCTCTCCGAGCCATTTCTGTAACCGGCATCACCACCAATTATGCCATTCATGAGGAAAACTTGAACAGCCAGTGCCTTCAACTCTCCTTCACAATCCATGCTTCAGCCCTTCTGTACTCTCACAGGTAAAAGTAAATAAAGGCTCCAAGGACTGAACCCAAAGGGGCTTTGTCTTTACCTTCCCACTTCCAACAACCAAGTGATAAACCTTCTGTTAGCTCTTGCCCGGAAACTTCTCTAGCTGGCAACAGAGCATTGCCATACAAACAAGGCTGCAATAAAGCCTCTTCTAAAAGACAGGAAGTATTATTTCTAGGTCTAGTTTTATCATTGCCATTTATTATTGATTTTCCAAGCCTGAGGCTAAAAAGTAACAATGCCTGGTTGTTTGAAAGGCATCAAGACAGGAATTGTTGAACATCCAGTGCGGTTGGTGTCATATAAAAGCACACTGAAGATGGATTGCTGTTTAGAGATGATGTACTTCTAGGATGAGCACAAAAGTCAGCATACAGTGCATTTTGTAGGGCTGAATTATAAGGGATTCATTAACTAAAAACTGATTATGAATAAAAGATGGCTGTCCTGACATCTGCCTCCCGTTAGCTCCTCATCAGGAAGAAAGAGGCTTCCAAGAGAGACAATGCCTGCAGGACACAACTTCCCAGCTGATGACTATGCTTGAATTCCTAGCTCTGCCTGAAGACAGCTCCTAAGCTGTCTCTCCCAGCCTAGCCTGGAAACGCAAACATCTGCAGGTCTCGTGTATATTTCATTCAGTACTAAACTCTGACTGAGCATCAATACCCATAAGGAAAAATCCCCACCACAAATAGTTAAGTAGTAACATCTTCCCATTGGACCTTTCTGTAAAGCTTTTCTGAACTGCAACAATTCCAGAAGTTCACGTATTCTGCTGGCCAGCTTTCCTGCCCTTTATTTGCCATCTCTTCAGGCAAACTCCAAAGATTTCAGGCTCACGGGAAATTTACCCAGGGTGAAATTTCAGAGCAAGCTCAGCTTTATTAATGAAGACAGATGGGCTGCTCTGGGGAAGCTTTTACACACATAAATTCATTTATCTTGAAAAAAACAGAACTAACTGGTTTGACACCCCTATTTTGACTCTGAGGAGGAGGAGGACAGTACTGCCAAGGTACATGAAGCTTCCCACTGCATAATTCTCTGATTTCTTGAGCAATATACAGGTAGGGAAAATAACCTATTTCTGTTGAACAGTCAGCTTTCTCCACAGCTGGGCTCCTGTCCCTTTGCTCTCTGACTTACTCCCTGTCCCTGAAGCAACCTAATGTAACCGTGGCATCACTTGAGTGCACATGAAGAGAGAGATGTGGTTAAACTGTCAGCCTTTCACTACATCATTCACTGTCAAAACATGTTGATCCTCGGGTCTACAAATGGGATAAAGACAGCCCTACATCTATGTACAGAATGTCCCTACTCAGACAGTTGTGCCTTGGTTACTCCTTTCTGAAGGCTTTCTCCCCACAATAAAGTACTCAGAATTCTGGCATATGCAGGAACAGGTCAGATTTTCACCATCTGCCTTTAGGAGGATGCCAGGGAACACTCCAGTTCACAGTCCTCAGACTCTCAAGTTGGCACACTGTATACATACTCATTCTTGATAAAGGCATATTTGTTGATAGTTTCAATCACATCTTTGAAGAGAATTTTGGAAGTCAAAGTGTATCCATGGTGGACAATTGGTTCACCGTCTGGCCCGTCCCAGCAGTCAACTGTAGAACAGAAACAATGACACCCATCAGACACTTTCTTTACTTTCCTGATCAGAAATATCTGCTCTCCTCTCGTGTAGCAGGAATTCTGCTGTATTTACCAGTTTGGTTGTCATACACTTGGCTAGAAAGTACAGACACCAAGAGAGTCTCCTGAACGTTAGTACTCAGTCTACAAAATATGCCACGATCAAGAAAATTTGTCAATTATATGGCAAGATCATTCTGTTATTCCACTTTACTTGGCTTTTTCTTCTACCCAATTACCACATCTTCTGCAGAAGTCGTGAGTCTTCCTTTACAGAGGAGAGACAAAACTATGGAGGCTACTACTACTTCCTTTTTGATGCTTACCTTCTACGCACCGACAGCCAGACTGCAGCACCCATGCATACATGTCCACCCTAGACTGGGACATCAGCTGATCTCCCATGAGGTAGGTATTATGTGAAGAGGTAATGAAATAGTGACTCAATGGATAACTCATGTCCTGATTCACGTGGTAGTGTTCTGGGTTGAATATGTCCCCTGATGGACTCCGCATGTAATTGGTGAAACCTGTAAACAAACAATACCATAAATAATACGGTTTTGTCCTTTTTGTTGCTATGGCCTTCCTGAAAGCAGCCAAAAAATGCATCCTACATTCACCGACACAGTCATGAACATGTAAGATAAATAAATAAAACATCCCCACTGTCACAACAACCAACAGCAATTATTGCTTTCAAGAAATTTTAGTTGCTTTGTACCTTTTCCTCCTCTGCCTTCTCCGAAATAAATATATCTACTTAATACAAACCTGACATTTGAGGCTTATAATTTTTGTCAAAAGACTCTGCTGGGACATTAAGTCGCATGGTATATAAAAGCCTCCAGAGAGCTGCAGTCATATCCTGCCATTGCTCCTCAGTGAAATGAGTTGGAAGATACATGGTGTTGCACTACCTAGAGACAGTTTCTAGTGGCACAACACAGTTTGAAGCAAGGGAGATGCTTTCCTCTCCTCTATTTCTCCTGAAAATACCAGAAGAATGTCAACACACACAGGCTTGTGCAAGCAACAGTCTCTACTGCTGATATGACACCACATGCACAAACATGTACATGGATGGGAGAGATCTGCAGTGCTGCATCCCTGCCACTTTGTGAGGCTGAGGTTCACTCCAGACTTACATCAAAATATCAATTCTCTGTAGTACTTGGGTGATGTGACCAGAAGAATTTATTTGCTGAAGTAGTGGGATGCAGACAACATCCCCTGCACTTGTGTATTGCAATCATTGCCCTTGTTCGGAAGGAAAGTGTTAGCAAGTAATGGTTTTTATCTTTGTATGAAATTGCTGCTCTCTCAGGTCACCAGCACACATTTGTGCACATATTCACAGACACCTTCACAAGACAAACATCAAAAACTGTACCTTCCATTTCAAGTCTCCCTAAAATCCTTTTAACTTGCCACCAATGAAAGACTACGGTTTCCACCCAGCTCCTGGCTGGAACAGCTACTGACAGTGATGATGCCTTATTCAAAAGGTCTTTGCTTCAAGACTTCTAATTCTCCTGACATTTCACTCATTATTCCATAAATAACACAGTGCCTTTATAAAAATTCTGCCAAACTTCTAAAGGTCTTAACGCCCTTTCTGTGACTGTGACAGACTGGTGCTTTGTTTCACTAAAGGCAAAAGAACGCCAGTCCTCAAAATCAGTCTGGTCTACAGAGCAAAGGGAAATTGAGCTTCAATAGAGTCTAAGATAAAATGTCCTTTATGATGGTTCTTATAGGCTTTATATTTCATGGTGATGAAAGTTTTATTAAAGGAAAAGAGATGATAAATACAAAGAGCAGCCAAAACTTTTTTAATGGTATTTGAGTCTCTGGAGGCACATATCAACTAGCAAACCTGTTATATAGCTAGAATAGGAACAAAAGAGTAACCAAGTCAGAGCAGATACCATGAAAAATGGATAGGGCACAGTGTGTAGCAGCAAACATATGGCTGATCACTCTTGGCAAATCAGTCATTTCATCTCACTACAAACCATCAGCTACTACAAGACTAACTCCACACAGCACTGTTAATGCCCCTGAAACAACACCAGTGTTTGCTTTAAGCATTTGTGAAGTTATAATACCAAAATTGATATTTGAGTTCACAGTAACTGGATCTATCAGCCTTTGGATGAAGAAACATGAATGAATCAAGACATTCTTGGCAGTGTTAACTGTAGATCTCTGGTATTCCCCCACTCAGGAAAAGCACGCAAACATAGTGGTCTGTTCTGATCAACAGAGGAAGGTAAGAGGGGTTTTGCAGGACTATGTTGAGTGAATTGGCACAGGCCAGTCCAAGGTGCTCCATGACAAAAGCCATCACAGCTGAGGAAGCAAGGCAATACAGACACATGAATGGGTATGAACAGGTCAAGAACACTGTTCTATTACTTTACTACTAGTGAAGTGCTGCCATGTGTGGCCAGGATGCTCCTGTCTGGTCTCTACCCATGTAAGGAATAAACACAGAGCTTCAGTTTCCATAGCTGCTGTATCTCAGCCTCCCCAGGTAACACTTGATTTAGAATACCAGAGGGATCTAAAGTCAGCTCCCCAGTCACTTCTGTTCAGATGTTGTTATCATACACTGCATTAGTTGAGCTCTTGACTAGGTATGTTCTGCTCTGTTGCACTTCCAGCAAGACACTGAAGTGGTTAAAGTCCCCCATACAAGGAGCAGAGCCTGTTAATGGGAAGCTTTTTCCAGCTCTTTCAAAACAACCTCATCTCCTACCTCCTCCTGACCAAGAGACCTGTAACTGACACCCAGCAGAATGTCACCCATTAGAGAGCCGGGCTGCTCTCTAATCCTAACTCGTAAACTCTCCATTGTTTAACCACCCATTCTTAGATCAGGCTAGTTTTTAAAAGGTTTTCTTTCCAGTATGGAAAGCTACAGCTGTTTGAAGCCTAGCCTTGCTTTCCTAGCTATGAGGAAGGCAAGATAATGAACCTGACTATTCATTATTTATGTGACTGCCACTGAGTGTAGAGCACCAGAAAATAAAAGCATGAATATGTCAACTGTCACACTCACTTGGCATTGGAATAAGCTTTAAAATAAATAGAAAATTTAGTCTGAAAGTAGAACAGACCTGAATCCATCCTAAACAACCCTCACTGCATGACATTTCTTACACTCTTACACAATGTAAGAGAAACTATCCACTTCCTTATGCAGTAAACCAAACTGAACTTATATTTTGCCACCTTTCTCTGTGACCACACACTCACAGAAATGGATAAGACAACTTTTGCACAGTATCTAATTCCTGAGGCATGTACTCTGCCCTTGGAGTCGATAAGATCTAGCAGACAGTTTGCTACTTGGGGGAAAGGATTTAGAATCAGTGCTCAGAATAACAGCTACCATCATTATGGCACAGCATCATTGAATTCAGAGTGAAGGCTCTAGCAGCAGAGGTCATGAAAGCATGCTTCAGGACAAATTTCATCTATCGTCTCACTTCACATGTTTATTCTGGATCAGATCACTCCTCTGATTAAAACTTAAAGGGTTTCCAAAAATACCTGCAGGAATGATGTAACTCAATTCTACTGTATTTTCCAAAAGCACAAACACAGACACATCTGGCTCCAGCTCACCTTTAATGACTGCTGTGCTGCTTCACAATATGTACCTTTAAAAACAAGACTTCCAAAGAGTAGCAATTTCCCTTTAGGTTCCTCAGCAAACAATAGGCACTTAACAAGGTACTGAACAGCATACTCTGTACAACCTGAATTCTATATATACAACAGAATTCTATGACTAAATACTCTGCAAATGGATGCAATATTCTCATAGGCATTGAACAGTTGCCTCTTCCCTACAAAAGCTATGCCTGCCCGCTTACCATCAATCCCCAGAGCTCCCTCCTTCTTGTTCTCCAGGCACGGTTCAAACTTGTTGATGATCTCCAGGCAGTGCTCTTTAGTCACATTTGTCATCTGTAAAAGTAGCAAAAATGGTGTTAAGTGGTAATCACAGCTTCGCTGGGCTCTTGTCTCTGTATACAGTTCAGCAGCTGACCAGATTACACACAGTGGTAGTAGGGATTTCCAGTTACCCAGTGTGATTCTCACTCCTGTCAATCAGTGTCAGGTCAGATAAGAACTAGTCTGCTCTGGGGAATGTTTCTGCCCTATTGGCAGCTGCCTGATCTCGGCCAATACAGAGTTCTGCTTTGTAGGTCAAAGCTGGTTAGAGTGTAATTAGGCACCCAGAGCATCCAAACAGAATGAGCTTTGTCCCAAACCAATGGGATTTCTTCTCTTGTAGGATTAAAGGATTAGTTTGCATTATCAAGGGCGTTTTACTTTGAAATAAACAAGAAAACGGCTCATCTCTATGCAGCAGACAGAAAAATCAGTTAGTGGCAGGGTAACAGAGAATCAGAAAGCTCTATGAGGAAATCTGCTAACTTCAATGTTATTTTGCATTCTCAACTGAAAATGACAGAGCACAAAGGGAAATATATGTTTCCAAGTGCTGTCATTTATTAAGAAAGGGCCATTTATAATAAGCTGTAGCATTTTTTGCCTTGCAAGTTTTCCATAGTTCAGTTTTAACACTATTATTTAATATTCCTCTTTACTGTAGATTTATCCTATAATTATTATTCCTGCTATTATTTAATATTCCTACCCTCAGTGGTCCAGCAAATCTTTTCCATTAAATGCTGTACAGGACACATGAAAATACAGCCCTTGTCACCAGAGCGGATTGCCAATAAAGTGACCAAGTCAATGACTGTTTTGGAAACACAGAATCTTTGCCCAGGGGGGAATGAAACCACCAGCATCTCTGCAACCAGATCACTGCCTCTTCTGGGGGTCATTTAAAACCTAATAAATACGAGTGAAATAAATAAGAGGAAGAAAAAATCCTAACCCTGTCTTTGCCCATACGCTACTGGTTTGCTGGGTTCAGAAGTTAAAGCTCTGGCAACAGAAAGCTTTTCTCGTGGAGCTTCAAAGCACAGAATGAACATTTGTTTCCCATGTACATATGGTATGAGTAAGGGCAGCACTAGACAAGAGAGAGAAGCCCCACAGGCCTGAGTTGTCCACGTCAGTGATTAGCTAATCCCAGTGTGGTGTGTTCGTTTTCCTCTCACCATCTGGAGGATCACTTGACCAATGAAATGGAAACACACCCCACTAATCTAATACCATAATTGCCAGAGAGGTGGCTTTTTATTCATTCATTTTTTGGACAATGTTTGAAACTGATGGAGATTCATGACTTAGAGACATGCAGTTACAAAAGAGGTCGCGGGAGGAAAAAGGCAAAGACGAGTCAATGCATTTGTTCCTGCACTGACTGCATCTTGCTGCCCTATCATTTTTTCTCTCTTCAGAGCCTTCCACAAGTTTCTAGATGAAAGATATTAGGATCATTCAGGGACCCCAGGAAGTCATTCAGCTCAAAATCCTGCCCCAGGCAGGGTCAATGATAAGGTCATATCAGTTACTTTACAGCAAAAACAGTATTTAAGACCCTCTCCAGCAACGGAGCTAAAGCACTATGAGACAAGGGAATATGTGCTACTACAGATACCCAGAAAACTGTCCCAGACATTAATAATCCTCCCAACAGCTCTTTAAAAATTAATCTTACACTTTACAAACTGAGGTAGTGTGACAAAGCAATTCAATGTCTTATCATGGACTGCGCAGTGAGTCAAAAGCAGAGCCAGAAACACTAGTACTGAATACTGGGAAAAGACAGATATGGATAGGATTGTCCTAAAATAACACATGAAAAAGAAAGAAACTGTAGAGACTATATTCAGTAGCACAACAAAAGAGCTTACAGAAAAGAAGAGGTAGTGAGAGCAAGCAGATTCAAGAAATAGTCAGGCCAGATGAAAATCAAGAGGCATCCAGCTGTCTATTTGTCATGTGCATGACAACAAAGCTCCCACCCTTTAGAAGGTGATGCATCCCCATGGGCAGCAGAACGGCATGAGGGCTGCAGTGCTTCTCCTGGCTTGGCCCTACCTTCTGTTCAGTCTCCAGAAAGCGTCTCAGGTCATCTGCATCTAGGTGGTCCTTGTGGTTACTGTAGGTGAGCATCAGCAGGTAGAGATCACGGCGCGTCGACATCATCTTATAGAAGGCGCAGAACTCATCGAAGCCCAGAGTGCCCTGGTTATCATCTGTGTCAGCCTCCTGCATTGCACAGCAATAAGGCAATGAGATCCCAGCAATAGCCAGAACAAACCTTAAATAAACAAACTCCTGCACGGGAATAAAGCAACATGGAAATTAAATGCAGGATAATAGCACCTGACCCAGCCACTTTCTGTATGACCTCCTAGAATAGAGTGATTTACCAGGCTGATGCTTTGCCATGTGAATGCTTTGCACAGCTTTCCCCTTTGAACCTCTTGAATGTATGCATTAGTGCACGAGCCAAGAAATAACTTTCATTGTTCCACTGGGAACTCTGCTTGAAAGATTTCTTCTACCTATGGCAACAAAGTAAGACAGCATAGAAAGAATGTGCATGCGCCTGGCAGAATTACCCACCCATGTTTTCTTGAAAAGATCATTACAACTCAAGTCATCTTGAAATTAATTTTATATCCAGGATTTGGGAGGCTAATAAGATCTGCAAGAATACTAATTTTGCAAGTAAAGAAATAATCATCAGTCAATGACACAATATCCTCTAGTATATCTACCCCTACAGTATGTATGTTTCTTGGTTTTTTACTTTTTGGGCTAGGTGTCCCAGCCTGTGACCTGAACCACTCTCAGCTGTATCAGCAGCGTTACTTAGTGCTACTGTGTTTGCACACAGTGGAGAAAGAATTTCTTCCCTGAAATCTTGTGATTGTCTGATCATGATAAGCTCTACTCAATGATATAACTACCTGGAGAAGAGATTATGAATTTACTGTGTTTCCAAAAAACCTGTTCCTAAAACCATGAAAAAAATGAATGAAAAACTCTGCCAGGGGGGAAGTATGAAAAAGGAAAACTGCACTGTTTCATGTAAAAAAGCTTATCCAGCACTCCCCACTTCGTTCTGAGTAAAAGAGTGGTCAGTTTATTGCTTTGCTCACCTTCACTGCGAACACGTTTAAGCCCATTTAAGGCCACAACATTGAAAAATAAATAAATGAGACAAGCTTTTACCAAATCTTCATGGTTTTCACTGAATTTCCTTCACAAACTGTCATGCGCATGCACTGTATCGGTTGAGGAAAAACTCCCTTAACCATGGACAGCAGCAAGAACAGCCTTCACAAAGCACTTCTGATCTGGCAAGCTGACATCCATTCAGTTACTTGCCCAAGACCAAAGTACTGCCCCAACTCTGTAATGTATTGTAATGCACCCCCAGGGATTGTTAAAGCCTTACACAAACAGCCTCCTCTTCCCTTGTTCCAGGACTTGCTCCCTACTTGAATTAACAGTCAAGGAAACTTTCTTCGAGACCTACATCTAATCTACTCTATTATATCTTTAAATACTTGGTGTAGCTATTTCATTAACCAAGAGATTTGATTTTTAATTTCAAGGCTGTTTAATATTCTAAGCTATCAAATAGCAATTGTATTTTCAGTTGAGGTCAGCTCAGTTTCAATTATGGATTGCATGTGGAAAAAAGAAACCTATTCTTCTCTGTTAATGGCATTTCTAAAGCACCCCTATGTGTAACAATGGTTGTTGATTACAAGCAGTAAAACCAGAACACAGCATACAGTAACTGCAGGGTTTTTTCCCCAGGAAATACTTCCCCAGCCTCTTTTATCCAGTTCACATCAAACCTAACGGCTCATCCTGGAAAGAGTCACTTTAATCTACACATTTTAATGAGTTTTTAAATTCAGTTCTTCGGTGAATTACTGAGCATTCATAAGTTCAGTGTTTGCTGGTATGAAAGAAAAAGATAAAAAGAAGTGATGAGTGAACCCCTCAGATTTCTCTGGCTGTACATGCATGATTCCCAAAGGGGTTTGAGCCTGGAATCTGTCCCAGAACTGAATTACTGAGAATCCAGTGATTCCCAGGCATGACTTTGCAAAAACATGAAGCAGTGCTGAGATGTCCCTGACTCAGGATAGTGCAAAACTCAAGGCAGCTCCCTATGCTCAGAACTGTTGATTCAACTTGTGCTTAGGTTCTTCACACAACAGACTTTCGGGTTACAAAAGTACACACAACACATCTCCGTGGTTCAGCTGCCCAGTAAATTGGGTCAAGGTCAGCAGAATGCAATGGCATTCAAACAGCTGATAGCAGTGCAAAACCCATGACAGATACAGAAGTCTCCATGCTAGGTATTTTATAGGTGCCAGTTACTGAAGGATTCTAGATACTTAGATAATATTTACTAGAGAAAAGGTAATCAGAGGAGGAAATGTGACTGAGATTCAGATCAAGAAGTTTAGCAAAGAAGCAATCTCTGTACTGTGTGTCTTGATGTTATGCAACACCAGAAGGTACCTGATGTAATGACTTTTGCTATGAATATCATTTATCTATGATGTGTTTCTGGAGCTCTTTTCAATTTACCAAATGGACTAGTGAGGTATCTTTCAGCAGAGTGGAAACAAAACAGCTGCTGAAGTATTTACAATCTCTCCTATTAGGTTCAATGTGAAATCTCCAGCAACTGAAACCTTGTTCTTTTAGAAACCAATACATTTTTATTTCTTACCTTAAACATTTGCTTGACTTTCTGTCGGGGTAGGTTCACATTCAGCTTGTGCATTAGCTGGAGCACTTCATTAATACTCAGACTGCCATCACCATTCTTATCTGCCTCATCAAACGTCTGCTTCAACCACATTGAACAGGAGTTAAGGAACAGCATGGAACAGTAACGGCTATTACTGATGTAATAATAGTAAAGGATATTATGTATATATGATATTTTCCATGTTAGGAAAGACTGGGTATTATACTGGGGATGAAAGGGAGTTTACAGTAATATATAATTCTACTCATGCTATTTCAGTAACAGTTTCCAGACTTGCTATGCTCAACACGCAACACATGCTATCGACCCATACTATATAGCACAGAAGAGCTAACTTCTGAGAGAGCTGCAAAGCTGCATCACACTTTGTCCTGTAGAACCAAGTGAAACAGACACCTTAACACAGGGAGTAACGGATGAAAGAATATACCTGTATGGTTTTCAGTTCACTCCAGTCATTCACCTCCAAATCTTGCCCAGAACAATCCTCTTCAAGGACTCCTCTGTCTCTGGAAACAGGGAATATAACGGGAACCACTTTGAAGCTTTGAGCCTAGTGCTTACTTTCAGCAAAACAAATACTTGAAGGAATCCCTATGCTATTGATAACTCTCCACCCCCAGGAATTACTCTCAGATAGCATTAAGAAGGATATTGGTCTCTGGTCCTTTGGCGTTTTGAGAGGCTGTCTTCATCACTGATCCCTGCCATCAGGTATTTTAGCCCTGTGATCCAGGTGCGTGCTTCCTCTCCACTGGAAGATACCAGGTCCAGAGATTCCATATGGTCTCCATAGTAGATACTGAAGCAGCAGTTGGGATCAAAACTGCCATCAGCATAGCGCTGAAAGATCTCTGACTGCTTCCCCTCGCAAACCTCCTGAATAGAGTCGATGGAAACTAGAATGACAAAAGCATGTAGTTCATCAATGAGTGTGTGCCAGCCCTTGGCCACAGGGTGTGTTTATCCTGTAGAGAAACCCTGCAGAGAAAGGGCCCAAACCAAACACTGCAAGGTCCCCAGCTCACACATGTTTGGCCTGCAACTCAGTACTACTACTACAGTATTGCAACCTGCAGAGCTGACAACAACCACTTCATCTTCAGAAAGTAATAATCATAAGATCATTTACTACCCTTTACATTCAAATACAACAATCTTCTTGGTCACCTATCAATGAGCTAAATAATTCCTGCTTGCTTGGTTGTAGGAGGGCAAGACCCTAGGAGGAATCAGAAGTTCTGGGGCTGAAACTCACTTTTGGCTTTCTCATTCTTCCGAGAGGGTCTCCAGCGAATACACGACTTGTGCTCATCCAGGTAATAGAAGCGGACCAGCCCTTTGGAACTGCCACGGAGCTTGATCATTTGGGTACCAGTTTGCATGGAACTCATACATCTTTCCACTGCAGAGAGAAATGAAGTGATATCAGTAAGTCAAGCTATTAGCAACACACTTATTTGAGGGGATTTAGCTGAATGAATAAGATCTACCTTCTGATCACACTCTAAATCAAGCTACTGTCAAGTATCAGTTACTAGAATAAGCACAAGGAAATTCAGACAATATTCCTAAATCGATAGGTAACACCTTAGTTGACTGGCAGTATTCCTGCAAAAGGAAAGCAGATTTGGGCACCATGTCTGCACATGTATGTGTACTGAAACACGCACCCTGGCCTGTCTGTGTGACTGGAGGCTTAGAGCACTAGAGAGGGGCAGGAAAACCTGCAGGAAGAACTCAGTGGTACTTCTATCAAAGAAAAAAGCAAACCTTTTTGTTCTGAGGTTTTTCACCGCATGGAAATGAGCGGAGCACACTGATGGAAGACAAGTCTGACTGCTACCTACCATTGTTCAGGTACCTGCTTTAAGGATTCATTTCTATGCATCAAACAAAAACCTCTCAATCTTGCAATGAATCATGTTTTTGAAGAAATAGCTGCTAACTTCAGGCTGGAGTTTTCTTTGTGCTTACATAACATTTTACACTTCAATAGAACCTTTTTGCAGAATTCAGCTGAGGTTCAGCTCTCTTCTGATCTAATGAGTTGCCTCAATTTGCATCTGGACAAAACAGAGTCATGGAGAGCAGATGGATCTCTGTACTGCAGCAAAAAGCAGTGTCAGAGCAGAGCAGGAGAGAGGAGCAAAGAACACTCAGTTCTGCACTTGTGTTCTTACAAAGTGACACTGGACTGACGCAGAGAAAAGGCTCAAAGTGATGTTTCATGGCTCATGGTAACATTTACAGTTTCTATTAAAAGTCTGAATGTAATGATAAATAACAAAACTATGCAAATCATAAATCCCTACAACTTGTCCTGCTACAGGAATACAAAATAAGGGCCCAATTTCCTGCTTATTGTTAGAAAGATGTTCTAGTGCCTGTTAATTAATGATTCCTGGCTCAGCAGCATTATTGTCCTTTAGGAGTTTCTGGGTTTGATGTATGCGTGTGAAGGAGTGGGAGTATTTCAGCATGTGGGGATGAAAAGAAGTTAGAAGGATTGAGTCACAGAGTATTTTTATACGGGGACCAGCTTTGTCAAAAGCTTCACGTCCCAGGTTCAGCACAGCTCCTGGTTATGTTGTACCACACTGACCCTCCCCAGCCTCTTTGGAGAAGTCAGGCTCAGCTCTGGCCTGATAACAGACCCTGACAAAGATGCATCCTGACTGTGCGCTTCAAAACAACCCCTCTTCAAACACTGTGAGGAGAGAGAAAGAGATTTCAGAGGCTTATTTCTCTCCAGGGCCTCCAGAAGACACAACATGTTTGTTGAAAGCCCTCCAGCACACGTGCGCTGTAAGGGCAAGCTGTTCCCTTAAAATACCACCAAACCACAACAGCTTTCCCCCATGCAGACGAGGACTCCCACACTTATCCTGCACCCAGCACTGCCAATCCATTGAAGAGATAATACTTGCTACGGGTTTTAAAAGTCTCACTGGAAATGGTTTTGCAGCTATAAGTGGCTCATCAATAGGTAAAGCAAAGAACTGACTGGCTCCAAGTATTCCTGCCAGGAACATTATGAATCATAGAATGGTTTGTACATGGACTATCATAGACTCATAGAATGGTTTGGGTTGGAAGAATCAATTTCAGTTCAGAGAGGAGGCATCAAATCCTTTAAAAAAATGAATATATAATAACAGCATACACATGTTCCCTCTGTACAATCCATCCAGTAGAGCTGTGAGAATTCTGTTCAAATGAGAGGTCTTGAAATCAGAAGATATTCTGAAAATTCAGCTGATGCCTGTGAGCTCAGGGAATCCCCACGGCAGCTCATGGGACCACTTAACAAGGGCTCCCAGAGTGTCACTTCTGACCCTGAAGACATCCGCTCAAGTAAGGGTCTTATTACAAAGTTTTTACATTAATTTCTGGCTACAGCACCCTGGGTTTGTTCCTTGTTCTTTGAAAAAGAAAATGTCTGTGTAATTCTGCCAGCCACGGCAGGGATGGCATTTGCTGCACCCGAAAGATAATGTGAATAGGACAAAAAAGTGCTTATAAGGCAGCAGGCAATTCTGGCCAAGGCCACTGAGGGTTTCCTCACTGGACATGAGTGGCTCAGGAAGCCAGCTATTAAAATGCAGTTAAATAGAAGAGGAAACATCTCATTTCTATAGCAAACTCCAACTGGGTTTGTTGCGCTTATTACCTGCTTAAAAGCAAGGCTGCTACAAAGCAAAAAGGGACCCTGCTCAGCTGGCTGGTGAAGCTTTAGAACTTTGCCATTCTATATCACTATTTAGAAAACAACCTCTCAAGAGTCCAGTGACCTATTGTGGAAGAAGACATCAGAGATGCTTCTAAACACTCATTTCAGAGTGAAAGCTACAAATCCTGCATGAAAAAATCAAAAAGGTAAGAGGCGTACAAATCCTGGTAGATAGCAAGGCTTTCCTACTGATGGCACGGAGAGGGAGATTGATTCTATCTCTGCAATAGAACATGTCTAAAGATCTGCACAAGTCAAAGTGTACAGCTTTGCATTTGCTTTTCCAGAATAATATAAAGAAATCAGTAATGGAATTATAACTGAGAAGTTCTTGAAGACCGAGAGAATTGCAGGAGCAACCATGCAACATAATGTAGGACTAGGGCTGTGGCTCAAGTTCTTCCTTCTTTTCTGCCCCACACCCCCTCCCCCCCCCCCCCAACACACTACTGCTGGACAAAGCTGTCACTAAATAACGGCTCAACACAACAGCTTTCAAGGTGATAGCATCACGCTCAGTGCAGTGGCAGGTATCCAGCCTGCATCTTACCAACATGGCCCATTTTCCATCTTGGAGAAGCTACAATGCTGCCACCAACCCAGAAAAACTCTTCAGCCAGACGGGCCACTGAGAACTTATTCTGAAGCAAGGGAGTGTTTGAGGCATCCATATCTGAGACAAAGAGCAGCTTCAGAACTGAACGCAAGCAAGCACCGATGGCCTTAGTAGATATCAAGGTTCTTCAGGACACATTTTCAATGTAATAGCATAAAAATATTAGCAGGAAAATCCAAGATAATCGGTGATTTCCAAAATCCAGTGGTATTTTCAGATTGTTACAGAGATGTTTCACAGTAAATTTAGGCCTTCTTCCAGATTTAGTCCAGATTTAGGATATTAAAATCCTAACAAATTCCTTTTTGTTCTCTATGTGTCTATTTTTGAGGACTGGGTGGGTTTCAGTTCCGTATTTTCAAGAAGACACATGACGGCACATGAGGCAGTATGACAGGTAAACGAATCCATTTCTGGACAGAAAGGCTGCCCCATGATATCCTTTGTCAGTTGCTACTTTACCAGCTGCTGGGCATACACCAAGACATCACACCGATTTACAGTTGTTGGCTTTTCCATGGTGCTTTCTCCTTCCAACATAGAGGTACCTCTTCTATATGATTACCAACAGATTTGCAAGTCCCACTCTTGCTGAGGGCTCTGCTTGCTCGTCAAAACCAAGCAACAATATCCACTGCAGTAAGGAAGCGCAAAGTTAGTAGCACAATCCATTCCTCCCCCTGCACTCCTAAGCCAGCCTTGCCTTTCACTGCGAATCTGTCCGGGTGCTGAAGCTCTTCAGTCTCTTTCCAAGTCTGAATAAAAGGAACCACATTTTCTTCTCTTACAGCTCTTCAAAATCTCCCTGTGTCAGTCTTCACCTTCTCTCAGAAGGTTCTCCTCAGTATTTTAATGGACATGCCTGCCAAAAGGCAGAATCTTTCTCCCTAGGCAGTAAAAACTAGATGCGACACAAACACAGCAACACATGTTTGCTTCCAATCCTAAATCCATCATACGCACTAATCCTAAAGCTGGGGTTCTGCCCTATCCAGTCAAGGGATTTGGGTGACACATTACAGCTGTAGGGGAAGAAAAAAAAAAGGAGGTTTAAAAAAAGTGCTTTCTTCTTCACCTCTGTTGGCAGCATCTTTCCATCTCTCAGCCTGTTTAGGAAGGTCTTTGCAAACTGACACAACCCCACAGAAGATGCCTGCTTTAGGACACATCCAGGCAGCTACCCTGTACAGAACAAATGCTGCACAGAGAGACCAGGAACGCAGAGGGTGCTCAAAATATGACAGAGATAAAAGCAGGTAAGGATTAATGTTTAAAAAGCTCTAAGTCACTGCCTCATTCCATTTGAAATGCACCCTTTAAACTCCAAACACAGAAATCTGTCCTTTATGTTATCGCAACACTTAATCTACATCAAGTTGCAAGCACAATATACAATCGCTCTTGCCATCTGTGATCCATACAAGGAGCCTAATATGCTTCTAGCTTGATGAGCTAAACACAAATTGCCCGTTTAAAAACACATTCATTAAGTGCTTCCTACTCCTCCTTTCAGTTTAAAAAAGCTTTTGACTAGTTAAATCTAGAGATGATTCACTCTCAGTGTTGTTTATTTCACCACCTCTGCCCAGAGTTCTTCTGTTAGGCTGGACCCAGAATTTAACCGATTCTCCAAAGCAAACCCAAACTGGGTCTGTGCTAAGGGTCAGCGGTGGCAATAATGCTGCATGCACTCTTGTCACATTCTGCTCTTTATTCAAACACTTCAGGAATAGCCTTCCCCTGTCCTAAGGCATCTTTCAAGAGTAATTTAATGAGAAGACTGCAAACTAATTGTCATCAGAGAAAGAACAACTTCTTCTGTAAAGAAACACATATTCGTACAACAGAAAACTGCTCCACAGAAGGCAAGAACCCATTGAGTGTTGTTCTGAAAATCCTAATCCTTCTGTCTGATGAAGACCTAGCACAGGCCACAACAAGACCTGAGAAATGTGAGCTTCATTGCCTGCTCTACTGCATGCTCTGGATTTCTTAGATACATCAGTAAACTTCTTTGTGGTTAATTGCCATGCCATAAAAAGAACATCTTAAATGG